AAATTTTATTATAATTTGACTTTCAGCTCATTAATTATGACTGATTGTTCGACCATCTATTACTGTAATATAAACTATTTGTTAATTAAAAACTATTTTCTACTTTTTAGTTCACTTAGCTACCATGGCGTGTTTTTTATGTTTAATAATTTTTCATTTCTTTAGTTCGATTTATCAACTAGTTTTTTGTGGACATGTGGTTCTGAAATATCTTACGAATCAGTTCGTAATCTAATCATTCCATTTAAAGCTTCACTGTTGCATGGGATTTTTGTCAACAATCAGGTTCTTAACCGTCTTAAGATCTTAGACGACTAAGCGCTACATAAGCATGTCCAGCAGCAAGCAGTCGCGAGCCTCGATAAGTGACTGCATAGTCGACTATACAACCTTGCATCTTGTGGGCGGTCGAAGCCCAACTCAGGATTAATGGCGTCACGTCGATCGATTCCATACTTCTCACACCGTCAAAGTGACTTCTAGTACAATTTTCCATGTAGTGCAATGACATTAAAAAAAAGAAACGTAGGCCTCATCAGAACCAGCAACAATCTATTTGGGGCTTCTCATGAAAAAAAAAAAATGTGTTTGGAGCTCAGGTGCAAAACTGCTTGTCAACAATGTTTGATAACTGCTTTTGATAGCCTTGATAGAAACTTACTGATTGTACTATATACTATAACGCCACCAAGTCACATGACATCATTGAATTACGCTCCAAGCATAACCTTCATATGACGCATGTCCTAATAGTTTTGACACACAATTCATTAGCTTTAATTTTAACAAACACAAAATAATATCAATATGCCTTGGGAATCAAAAGTTTGTTTGCTAACTTTACTGTCAGTTGAGATTTATTTGCTGCAAAGTTTTCGCTTTAAGATGTCGTATGAATAGAAATAAGAGGTAGTATCTATGAGTTGTTTGTGTGAGTACCCAAAACTGAAATTTAGTCCAATATTCCATGAAATGAAACGATCTCACGCATAACTATTTATCGAACAATAGCGGAGTGCGTTTAGGGAATACCATGTCTGTATCTCCCAAAAAGTGGAAGACCTTGTGCACTCTGTGCACAGAGGTCTGAGAGATTAGTGGGAAGAGCCAAACATCAGGTTGGAATGTCAACAAGGAGACTGGCTCATCAATACGGATCTGATAAGAGTACGATATCGTTAGGAATGGTCTTAAATATCGAAAGAGACTTAAATGCCCCACATATTCTCAAGCGCAACTCCTTAGTATACCAAGATGCTGACGTCAACTGAGGCGGGTACACTTTGCCAATGGAAAAATCATTATTTTAGATGACGAAAAGTAGTTGATGGGTAAGTCTGAAATAAAGGAAAATAACGTTCAAAGTTGAGAAATTTCCTGGCAATGTTGGATACAGACATTAGGCGCAATTTGCAAATAAAATCCTTGTCTGTGCGCAATTTCTAACAGGGTTATGTATCCCAACCTTTTGTGGGAAGACTGAGGGAGAAGATTTGAATAGTCAGAGCTGTATTGAGAACTGCCTTTCCAAATTGCTTCATCTTGTCGATGAACATCATGCTAATGACCATATCATGTTTTGGCCAGACCCAGCATCATGTCATTGCCCAAGAGATACCCAAAACAGAACATCCCTTTTGTTTCCAAAAACGATAATCCTCTAAACTTGCCACAGGCTCGCTCAATAGAGGATTTTTGGGCTCTACTGTCTAGGAAGCTTTATCATGGAGACTGGGAAGCCCAAGACGAAAAACAGTTAAGACGGCAAATTCATGAAAAACTGAGAGAAATTGATCTGAACTCCGTCCAGTACCTCATGACAGACAGACAGTTGCGTCTGGGAGAGCAGAATGGGCCACTCCACATAATTCGATGGTATAGTTTAGTTGAGAATTGAGTTTTAATTTATGACTAACTAGTAAGTGTTTTAAATTAATTTCTTCATTAAAAAAACCGATAAATATTTTGCGCCAAAGCTTTTAGGACATACGCTATAATACATTATATCGCGCCCCCCTCCAACCAAAGTTACAATATTCATAAATAACACCGTGACTCAGGGCATGTGCGACCGATAGGCGATCTGTCGGTTAAAAATATGTTTTTGCTTTGAGGGTAGATGTGAGGTGAAATATGTCCAATAGGTGCGTAGACTTACCGGGGTAAGAAGTGTATTAATAGTGGTAAGTAGTGTATAATGGTAACCTTGTGTGAAAATTTCATCAAAATCCGAGCGGTACTTTTCGAAATGTAGCTGGTCCAAGGATATGGAGATAGATAGACCGAAGGATGAAATAAGTGTCATAGTTTTTCGTGATATATGTACATACCACATAACATCCAAAAAACATAATACAAGTATCGCATTCTCTAAATTTTTCGGGACTACAGTACTTCCCACTCCCCACTGATGATTATCAACTTGGCACACCATTATATACCTGTATCCTCAGATTTTTTCCTTAACTCCGCACAGTATTTCGGTTTTTCAAACCACCGTACCCGCTTGTCCTCTTTCCTACCGCAATGATGAAAAAGTTTTGTTAATAAGTATATACATATAGTTATGGCCCGAGGGAGAGCGATGAAGGCAGCAAACAAACTCGGTGATGTTTTGGAGTTGAGACGAAGCCACAGAATATCCTCATGGTCTGATTCAAGAGAAACATCTCTGGACCAGGAAATACTGCTGCGGACAAAAGCCACAGCTCCCCCGTTCTTTCTCAGATTGGAGTACACCTCGTAATTTGGGAAGCTAAGATGGACAATCTGTGCAGACTCTGAGATTTTTGTCTCCGCCAAGGAAGGCATGGCGGGACGACTGGATTGCGGCTAGTGATGAACAGAACGAATGTTGCTGTTAAACCCGCAGATGTTCATGAAGGGGAGGTGAGGTTGGTCGTGGTTACCGGCATGGAAAGCAATGTTCATTTCAATCCTGTCTATTTATGCATTTATGCGTAAAAAGCCATTGGATAATGGTGATGAGCATCTACTTGTCAAGCCATTGAAAGATGGAGATCATCAGTTTTATCGGATCCTCTTTTGACGCAGTTTTGAGCCTGGCATCATACAGATTCGTTAAAAAGGTCTCTGTTCATTGAGATTGTTAAAAACAAACGAATAAAGTATTTCTCTGATCGGATTCAAATACTAGTGATCGCTCTACATGCTACTGGTGCCTTCGATATAGTATATTTCTGGTATCAAAATAGTCTACTATCTCCTTGGATCGATGTTGCTAGCGTTATAAGAGACATAAGCATAGAGTCCTCCAACCAGATGCTTTTCACGCGCACGTGAGCGTCATTAAATAGTGTTGTAGAGTGAAGCAGCATCAACGTTCGCTTTTATAGTTCAGGTGGTATGCAGGAAAATCGTCGCTTTTTTGGTAAAAATATTGATTAAATCTTAGAGAAAAGGATTTTTCTCAGTATTTCCCGGAATCTAGGCGCGGTCCACATTGCGGAATCTTTGTTATGTAGTATCAACAGATTCCTAACAATGATGCAAATTTTTAGCGGTCGGATCAAAACCAAATTGTTATTTTGAAATTCAAATTGTTCACAACATCACATCGACTAAATATCTGTTATGTTCATCAATATCCCTTTATTTTTAATACCACTTTTCTAGCCTGCGGTTTTATCCACGGAAAGGGCGGTTGGTGCTACTATTAAAGTAACCAAATTTCCAACCATGCAAGTTGGATGTCAATTGAAAAATGCCAACGAAGATACAAAACGTGATCGGAAATTCATCGCACTACTCAAAAACAACGTTTTTGGTTAGTAGTAGTGTCAATCGTACGAAGTCGCGGGTAACAACAGGTGCAAAATAAAAAGTCTATATCGCTAGATGGTTGAATGAGGCGATTGCTGGCCACGCTGTTGCTGGATTGACGTTGACGGTGGATATTATAGTACTTGTACCGACAGTTGATTGCAGAATCTACGATGAGTTGGCAGATAAACCGTACCTATAATCTTGCTCGTGTATCATTTTTTGCGTAAAATCTCGCTAGATAACTATACCTTAGACACCTAGCTGCATTAAAGATTGTATAACAATTAACCCAATACCTATTTATTCTACTTGAAGAAAAACAAAAACACCAAATAAATCCAAATTAAGATCAGGCTATCAGGAAATTAATCAAATGCATGACGCAAATGCCGTATTTATATACCCGTACTCATTTCGGTCGCACCAGCGACTGAGAGCTTTCGAGCCAGACACCTCATGTGAAATTCCATTAAGCCGTTTGGGCTGCGTGCCGTGAAGTAGATATTTCAACATTATATCTCGGGATAAAGGGTACCCTATGTGCTGCTTCAGACTTTAATCTATCTCCTGGCCAAATTTAGTCCATATCCGAAAAAACCATTTTGACGTGTGTGAGTAACAAATATCCACACTTTCTCATTTATAATATTAGTAGGGATAGTAAGCTTTGCATGTGTCAAACACAAATATTTTTGTTCTATGTGAGGCACCTGAGGTAGAAAGAAGCCTATCGCATGCTTTCCGTACATTGTTTTTGTTGTTTCTGCTTGGAATGTCTGCAGACATATCACCACTACAGAGTTTTATCACATTTCAAACCGAAAGTAAAAATCTGTAGTGGTCATAGATGCTACGTCAAAGGATTAAACATCAACAAGAGATATGCATGAACTATCATTGGCCAGACGCATAACGAAAAACGTCTTAATGTGTGTGTCCAAATCTTTGAAGGGGAGTCTCTTTTTTAGTCAAAGGATATCTTAAACAGTCTGCTCCTCACAGAGAGAGCTTGACAGATCTACATATACATTAGTTTTTCCTTCCTGAAGTGTCAGAACCTCTGACAAAAGCTAATGGAAACCTTTTGGTCAGCCGTTATGAATTCCACCACGTTGGTGACCCCTACATGGATACCTATCGTAAATAAAATAAGATTAAAATTTCCAAATAAAGGATGTAGTAGAAAAAAAAAGAAAATCAAATATTATTTTAAGCTTCCAACTAAAAAGAAGGAAGTAACGAAAGGTAAAAAAGCAAAAAGCGCAAGAAAACCCGTCGAGAGCTGCCAGCCCTTTTCCTGAAGAACAAGTTTGTCCGTAATTAATTGAAGTTTCGTTGGATACGTACACAACAGGTACATAATGGTACATTTTTAATATAATTGGGGACGAAATAGCTGTGGCAGCATCTTCTCTTTTTATTTTTCGTTACTTCCTTCTATTTAATCGAGAGTTTTTAGAACAATAATTTAATTAATTTTCAACTACATCCGTGGTGGGTGTTTTCAATACTTCCAATTTTGTTTTATTTTATGCTTTGTTTAGACCAACATATGGGTTCACTTAGGTCGGCATTTTAGGTTTATGCCAGAGCCAGAGCAAAAAGTTGTGTGACATTGACCATTTCCGCACGTTACAGTATCGATATGTGGCAGTGCCCTTTGGTTGGTATGTTAATCTAGAAACTATCGCCGGTGAAACACAAATTCTCCACTGACAACCGCTTCAAAATTGGTCAAAGCATCTTAGAGACAAAGAGAAACATCCGTAAAGACAAGTGTCAAATGCAGCGCCTCTGGCGGGCGAAGACCTTAATACCTATTTAGCAACGATTGCCGATTAGTCACAAATCCATCTTCGAAGACTATCTGAACACAAACATACAACATCCCACCATTGACTGTTCCGTAGTGGCTAAGAAGCTTTCTCTTGACTAGGTAAATTCAGCTGACTCCTGGACTAATTTTGTGACGTAGCTCCGGCATCCTATGCTGTTGCCGACAGCACAGCAGCATCGGCTCAGGCATCAACCTTTTTTGCGCTTCCACTCTTTTATAATCGCCTCTCTTTATAATCGCTTTATGGGTCAGTTCCACTCCCGCTCCCCCGCCACTTCAACCCCGAATACGTAAACGCTGTCGGTCGGGTCAGCAATTCTTCGCTTGGAAAATCGGCCACTGTATATCGCAACGTTGACGTTGGGTTTTGCATTGGTTTAGGCATGTTGTAATTTGAATTTGCGTTATTATTTTTTAGCCTGTCATGCAAAGGGACACGGGTGACGTAAAATATATTCGCTGGGCGGTAGGAATGTGACTATGATATAATACAATATTAATCGATTTTAAAAGAAAAAAATAACCGAAATTTTGAGATCAACATATGCAGTTTATCAGGATAAAATCAAATAGTATGATGAGCATAAAAATAACCAAAACGACAATTTTATAGTTTAAAACCTGGCAAAAACAAAAACATGTTATTCAGTTAAGCAATTTGTCAGAGTAAAAAAAGGCGTCAGTTAGTTTAAGTCTGCACTTCCACGCAACGCCGTTATCAGTTCATAAAGGATTATATTCAGCACAAGCTAGACTCTCAGAAAAAAGTCAGTCAAACAGGTCCATAGAGCATAGGAAAGAAGATATCAAACCAGAACAACGGAGCACAGAGTTTTAAGGGCTAATGTACGGAGAAGTCTATGATGCGTAAAATATGTCTAATAGGTGCGTGGAATTACCGAGGTTGGGCGCGAATAAGTGTACTAACATCAAAAAATTGAGTTCACCCTCAGTGCCACTCAGCAATTGACTAGAACGAAAATAATAGACGATATGCATAAAAACAAAACCAAAACCTTAGAGTTTCAAAGCCAAAATACTGAATTTTAAGTTTAAACTGTCAAAAATTAAGTGGAGTTGCTGCCATAATTTTTCAGTTAGGGAATCACAAGATAGTAAACCTGGTAACATGGTTCATAAAATACACTTACGTGCTACCCTGACCGTATTTCCTGCTTTGACAAGGTGGTAATATTTCGGCTTGTGCAGAAATAGAGTTAGATATTTTAAAACTACTTCAGTTAGCTAAAGAAAAGTTCCTTCAGTGCTTCTCGTATATCATATCAAGAGGATCTGCCTTGAGAGTCGATAATGGTGCTGCAATCTCTAGATGTAGTTCTATATTTTTGGCCATTGACGTGTTGGATACAGATGCTATTTTAATGCTACTTTTTATGGTGTACATGTCAGATATCTCGTTCGTGGGCACCTCTGCTGATGAAAAATTTGATTCTGAAGTAGCCGCTGTTGGATTATCATCATTACTGGTGCTCGTGGTCGGCTAGAGATGGCGCCGCGCCGTTTACAAAAACCGGTTAAAGTCAGTAATATATATATAATCCACTTGTCAAAAACAGATTATTATGACACGAAATCGATTTTTAAAAATATTTAAAAATCGATCATATGGGAAAGATAAACGATTTATCGATTATTTTTTCACATCCTAGCTGGTTGCGCGTCGACAGCGCCACCTAGTACATGTTGGACACGTGCAATTTAAAATTAAACGGATATAAATGTCGGGTTTAGATTTGGAACAATTTAATATTACTGATTTTGATCTTTTCGGTGTAAATGAAACCAGTTTTTATTTTCGTGAAATGTAAATTGTGAGGACAAAACATTTTTACTTCTGTTTGGAAGGAATATTTGGGGTATCTCCTTTTTGTTATGTCGAAGTGTCCCTACAATTGTGAGTTTATAATCTCTTAACATGTCGTCTGCCAGTTTAATTGAGGTGAACCGGTTATCCATGGTGATATTTCGGAAAATTTCGTGAATTGAAGCTGTCAATGATTTGACCAATTGTGACGCAAGAGGTTCTTCTCTGTGTCTGTTTTCCTTGCCAGTACACGGAATTGCACTGACCATATAAAATGTTCTGCTGTCACACATTGTTACTATTTTAAGTCCATATTTGTCCGGTTTAGATGATATATATACACAAAACGGACAATGTCCTCTGAATCCAAGCAACTGCTCATCAATTGTTCAATATGCATCTGGTGTATAGTTTTCCGTGCAATTTGCGATGAATAAATTCCATAACTCTCTTATTGGCGAAAATTTATCTTCACGATTTCTTACATTTTTGTCATCACACCTTAAGCAGTTTATTAAAAATTTTAATCTAGATTCACTCATAATGCATCTGTAAATCTTAGAGCTTTGTTTGGAAAACATTTCGCAAATAGATAGACGGGCATCTTTTCGAGCACCTGATATGTATAGAAGTCCTATCAAAGCTGATATTTCCACTGAGTCAGTAGGATCAACAAACCTAGCATCCTTGTAATTATCTCTTTGTCTAGCAATTTCTAAATTTGTGTAAATTACAATGCTATCAATCATAGGGGTTTGAAAAAGAGTTTGCCATGCTTGTAATTCATTTGCAATGTGTTTTGCGTTGCCTTTTATTCCTGGCAGCACTTTTACTACTATATTTCGAGAAGTAGTTTTAGTTTTGAGTGATTCGTCCATGCTCCACCTGAAACCATTCTTGCCAAGAATAATATTCGTCGCTTGCAAATTATTCTCATCGTCACTTCCTGAAATTTCGTCCAAGGAGATTATACTACCGGTTTCAGATAGAATTTCGAGATTATCCTCACATTCACTAACATTTTCTTCATCTTCGCTATCGATTTCCTCAAGCCAACGTTGTACTGTTTCCTCAAAATTTGGATCTGTATATTTTACTCGTTTCTCTTGAGACATTTCCGCTACAAAAAAATTAGACAAATGAAACTTTATAATCACAAATGGTTACTGGGGTACTTGAGTACCCCAACATACCTTTTCCTCAGTAAAAGAACTTGCATATAAATAAGCACGTGTGTCAAGATGTTCAACATAACCTCAAAGAAGAATATCTAAACGCTCAGTGTTGCCAACCTTAGTATTAGAGAAATACCGCCAAATAAATGATGACGTGGGGTACTCTAGTACCCCTGTAACCTTTATAGGGTTAGGGTTAAGTTTTCAATGATTTCCAAATTTTCTGCGCAATACTCTTTTTTTCCGTAAGAAGCTTTTATACAGTATCAGGAAAGTTTAAAAAAAAGGATGAGTGAAATCGGTAAAGTCGTGCTTAAGTTATGGCGTAACCACGCGAAATAGGGATTCATTTATATAATATATACATATACAGGGTGACTTGTCATGTCACGTATTCCTGTTAAGTGGTGATAGATTAGGTCAAAAGCAACCGATTTTGTCCTATAATGTCCTATCCAGAAGCTAACCGTTTTTGAGTTATTTGAATTTTATTTTTTATTCCGATTTCAGACGGTTAAAATTCAAATACAATAAACTGCATGCTTATTTTGAGTTTTTTGTTATCATCGCATAGCAGACATTCCAATAGTTCATAATAAGTAATAAAATGTTGAAAAGCTACAAACTTTTTAAAATTACGCTTTTTAATTGTATCATTTTCTTATTTTTTTACTAACTTATTCGATAAAAATGCAATTTTCTGCAAAACATCTCCTAGTAATGAAATGTGCAAATTATGTAAATAATATCTCTATCTAACAAGCTTTCATTTGAGGTATTAAGCGGTCAATTGTCTGAAGTACATACAGAGAAACAACAATGACACCCACAGGGGCTGGATTTCGAGTGGTTTCTTTATCATCATGGCAGACGCAGAAGATCCGCCAGGACCTCGCCATAGCGAGCACGGACAAACTTTTACAGATGAAGAATACGCAGACATAGTGTTCAGTTATGGACTTTGTAACGGCGATTCTGCAGCTGACCGCCGTGAATATCAGCAACGCTTCCCGAATCGCCAAACACCTCATGTAACTGTGTTTGACTCTGTGTATCGGCGCATCCGCCAAACCGGACGTGTTCAAAGGCAACATAGTGATGCTGGTCGACCCCGAGTCTATCCTCCTGAAGATGAAGAGGAAATCCTTCGTGTGTTTCAGGAAGACCCTACGACGTGTACGCGCATTGTGGATCCTCAGTTGGGTATATCACAATATAAAGTATGGTTTACTGTGCATACTGCAAGATTATACCCTTATCACTACACGCCTGTGCATGTGATTGAAGAGAGCGATCCTGCAAGACGATTAGATTTCTACAGGTACATGTTACATGCAGATACAGAAGATCCAGACTATTTTAAGAAAACTCTGTGGACCGATGAATCGAAGATTGATAAGGACGGGATCACTAACTACCCTAATGCTCACTACTGTGCTGATAAAGAAGCTTTAAACTCCCGAAAAAATAAGACCGACGGGGTCTCAAAGCCGGTTTTCAGTCAATGTGTGGATGGGCATCATTGATGGATATTTAATTGGACCTCATTTTCTGCCCGTCAATTTAAATGGAGAAGTGTATGAAGAGTTCTTGAAAAATCACTTGTTTTCATTAATGGAAGACGTCCCATTGCCGACAAGACAAAATATGCGGTTCCAGCACGACGGCTGTCCCGCACACTACAGTAGATTAGTACGGGCGTATTTAGACTCTAAATTTCCAAATCAATGGATTGACAGAGGCGGGCCCATTGCCTCGCCAGCAAGAAGCCCAGATCTCACACCGATGATTACTATGTGTGTGGACATATGAAAAGCCTGGTGTACGATGTTTCGCCCGTACCAACGCGCGATGAATTAATTACAAGGATAGTCAGTGCAGCTGACCAAATAAAAAGCCGCTTAACAACTAAAGTTACCAAAAGTGAATTACGTACTAGAATACGGGCGTGTATTCGTAACAGGGGATTACAATTTGAGCAGAATCTGTAAAATACTAAAGGAAATGTAATTAAATAAAACTGTAATTAAAATAAAAGCCTTTTATTTATCCTATGTAATTATCTTTCATACAGCTTTACTCATCTTTTTTTTTAATTGTATGTCTGTGTACTTGAGTTAGTTGTAACTTTTATACCTCAAATGAAAGCTTGTTAAATAGAGATATTATTTAGATAATTTGCACATTTCCTTACTAGGAGATTTTTTACAGAAAATTGCATTTTTTATCGAATAAGTTAGTAGAAAAATAAGAATATGATACATTTCAAAAGCGTAATTTTGAAAATTTTGTAAGTTTTCAACATTTTATTATTTATTATGAACTACTGGAATGTCTGCTATGCGACGATAACAAAAAACTCAAAATCAAACATGTAGTTTTTTTGTATTTCAGATTTAACCGTCTGAAATCGGAATAAAAAATAAAAAAAATAAAATTCAAATAACTCAAAAACGGTTAACTTGCTTTTGGCCTAATATATCACCCCTTAACACAGGAATACGTGTCATTACAAGATATAGATGAAATATGCATACCAGCTCATTTGGAAGAAGCATGGAGGGCAAATTAGGTTACATATCTGAGCTACTTCCAAGCCCTCTAACAGCGACAGTACAAAAATATGAGATAACACGATGCAATATAATAATTATATTGTACTTAACTTCTACTGAGATGAAAAAATCTTACCGTGATCGTTCCCCAAGTGTTGACTTCAATACTATTTCCTTTGCACATTTTTAACCAATTTCATCAATCATACAGTGTTACGGTAAATATATAAAGACATTGACAAAATGTCAACCAGATTTCATCCCTTATCCTACATGGGATGAAATGTGTACTCCGTTCGACCACTACCTCCAGTTTACACGTTGCTAGTTGAAATTCACCGAGTGCGCCTCTCCGACCGGACAATGTAAGCTGTAGCTGAACTACGAGCTACAAGTGTAGTGTTTGCGGATGGGAGGAACGGAAGATGGTCGGTTGTAGCTTGAGTAGGAAGCAACGCATCCCGTCGGCCTCTGGATCTGTTATCTGTGTTGGGGAATGCAGAAGGGAAATAATTACAGCGTACAGTTGTGAGCACTATAACTGAACCATTAGGTACACTTGCATGGTATATAAATTAACACAACATCTATGTATGGAATTGGTCGATAACACCGTTATTTTAAACCATGTCACTCAAGGTCAGTTACAATTATTGTAGGCAACTTTTTTCAAATGGAATACCTTGTTTGCTTAAGTATACACCTTTCTTGAAGTCCTTTTCAAAGGGAAACCCTGATATAGCATCTCAAAGGACCGCTACTTCTGGAGCAACGGAATATTTTATACAAGAAAACCCTACATGGTTTATCCAGAAAGTAATAGGACTAAGTCGATTTAAAAAAAATGATTGAGCCAATAGTTACAATTCTTTAAAGCGCTGCCAGCGCATTTCCAAGCATTGAAGGCGTCACGGAAGGCATTCTCCGGAATAGCCTTGAGAGCGGTGGTGCATGCTGCTTGGATCCCCTCTGTCGTCTCAAAATGCTTGCCTTTAATCGGCCTTTTCAGGCGAGGAAACAAAAAAAAGTCCGGGGGAGCCACATCTGGGCTGTAGGGCGGCTGTGGAAGCGTCGGGATGCCGGCCTTGGTCAGGTAGCTGTTCACAAGAAAGGCGGTGTGAGCCGGGGCGTTGTCGTGGTGCAACTTCCAGTCGGCTTCTTGACGGACGCGACTGACCCTTCGTTTGAGTCTTCTGAGACTTCCACGTAAAACTTGGCGTTGACGGTTTGTCCAGGAGGAACAAATTCATGGTGGACGATGCCTTTGATGTCAAAAAAGACAATGAGCATCGTTTTCACTTTGGATTTGCTCATTCGTCCCTTTTTTGGGCGAGGAGACGCCGTCGTGTGCCACTCGGAAGATTTCCTGTTTGTCTCGGGATCATACTCAAAGATCCACGACTCGTCACCTGTGATTACGTTATTCAAAAATTGGGGGTCACTTTCACACATATTCAAATTTTCTCGGCACACTTCCACTCGCCGCAATTTCTGGCCCTCAGTAAGCACTTTTACGGACCATCTTCGCGCACATCTTGCGTGTGTTCAAATGCTGTGTCACAATGTCGTGAACCACAGATTTTGGTAAATTTAACATCTGGGCAATTAAACGGATACTTCGACGGTCAGAGTTCAAAACTTTGCGCACACGTGACTCGTGTTTGTCGAAGTCGAAGGTCTTCCAGCACGGTCTTCATCAGCGACCTCTTCCCGGTCCTCCAAAAAGGCTTGGTGCCATCGAACCACACCACTTCTTGCTAAAGCAACACCTGGTAAGCCTGCTTGATCATATCAAACGTCTCTGTAGCAGATTTACCAAGTTTCACACAGAATTTAATCGCGTACCTCTGCTCTAACGAACGCTGCATTTTCGGCATGCAGCACTCACAGATACACGTCGCGCGAAAATGCCTGTCTTGACTCTCAAAGTGCTCGGAGACAACTGACCAGCCGCTCATTCGTTAGCTAGGAACGCCCTCTACCGAATCCAGTCGGTGCGCGCATGGCGGAAGAAAATGAGTTCTATTACTTTCCGAACAAGCCCTGTAAGCTTTGACAGCCAGTCACTTCTAGTATACCAAAATTTTCATTCAAACGAGCTTACCCTGCAGTCTCACGTCATTCTAACGGTACCTAATTTTTATGCAATGTCTATACAGGGGAAATATAAACCCAAATCTATTTTTTCTCAACAAAACCAAATAGAGCATTCAGAATATATTTGCGGTTCCAGATTATACTTTTATAGACTTTCTTTATGTACAAGATTAACATATTCGGGGTTGAACTACAAAATTTCTAAGTAATTCGCAGTTTTCCCAGAATTTTTATTCAAATAAATATCACGTTATTCATGGAGAGAAAGGATTTTCTGAAGATGGTAAGTAATT